ACAAGAATTCTGAGAAAAAGATATTGTCTAAGAATTTGTGACAAATGATAAAACAGTCTCAGCGAGTGAATAAACTGTTTTTTCGCAAAATTTGCAAAGATTTATACAGTACAATTTCGTACAAAACTCGTTTATACAATTATGGCTCTGATAGTTCTAAGTCGATATATGTCTCACAATTTTGATCTCTTAGAAGAAAAGACTTTACTTCACATGAGGTCGTTCAAACTAATCGCTAATTATAATTTTCGCATGCTGAGGCGCTCTTCGACCTGCGAGAGATACGTTGCTATATATTTCGCGCTGATATAGATTCTGCTGTTGCGTCGCATCATCTGCGTGACGACAAGAGGAGCACTCGCAGCCACACACCGGTCCTTCATGTGACCGTAAATGCTGTGAGCGAAAGTCCCTGGACCAGTGGCCGAAAGGGTCACCCCTCAGGGGAGAACCGTACCGGAAATAGTCCCAGCAAAGGAACGCTCAGTATTGCGAACAGCATAGGGCTTACTCTGTCAGTCTCGCTCTTTTGCGCTTAGATAGGTAATATCGATTTTGTTTGCCATTCTAGAACGCGTCATGAGGCTTCTGAAGTGGGCGGGGCGCACTCAAAGGGGGCGTGGTTACCATTCTCGCGGATTACAAAGTGTTCTTCGTGCGGACCATATTAGTGGACTTCAATTTTCATGCTTTCTTTCTGAGATTTTTTGAAGAGTTTCTAGGAGTTATTTGGGTGAACGCCACTCAACTCTTTTGCGAATTTGCGAAGAAATACAGCAGTTTTATTCAGATAAATAAATAATAAGTTGGCAACTGCGCACATAATCTGTTAGTAAGGAAGTTTGAATTTTCGATGACATAATTTTGGTTTCCTCATGAGCTTCAGTTGCTTCATAATTGCAGTACTACTTCCTTAAAATTTTGCTCATGAATATTAGTATAAAGGAGCGCTTCCTTTTCAAATCCTGAAATGTTTGAAGATTGAAAATTTCTTGAAAATTTTTTTTCTTGAAGAGCACCTTCTAGTGCTTTCTTCGTTGACTTTTCTCTATTACTATAATCTAGAGCCGTGTTTATCTTTGCCGTGAATAAACTGTCATCTTCCCATTCATACTTCTCCGAAAACGAGTACTTTTCTCTTTTCATTGCTCCAATAAACTGAAAAACCCTAGTTAAGCCTAAAATTTACAATAAGTTTCGTACCCAATTATAAATTTTATAGTAATCAGGTCGGTCCTGGTAACCAAGCGTGCGCAAATACTTAGCTAAGGCAACAAATTCTTCTGGGCATTCCTAGACACTTATGATTTTTTTGTATCTGTGCTTCTTCGAAAGAATAAACCTTGAATACATTCTCGTCCGTCTCTCTTTCTTTTATTTTTACAATCTCCTTCTCAACAGTGATACGATTCCATGGTAGTCCAACATACAATTCTCCAAGCATATAGAGCATAGCCCAAAGATCGTCCACTCGTGCCTAAACATTCAGTTCAGAAGAGATATGGGCGTCCGGTTTGCATGTGTCATTTGGAGTGAGCTTGATTCGAGCGGCTAGTTCCCGCGCGGCCGCATCGCGCGGACTCTGCGCCGCATTCGCGAACGTATTCTCTGACCATTTTCTCACGCTCAATCAACGATTGAAGCACGCCGCTAAGCTCTTTCTCAAGTGTGGGAAAATGGACAAATGATACGCTCGCGTACGCGACGCAGAGTCCAGCGAAGTGACCACGAGGTCGCTTATGTAGGACTCCCTCCAAGTTGGACGGAGTACCTGCTCCAGTCTTCTATGCACACTCAAGGAGCAATAGCGCAATGTTCCTCGCAGGAGCACGTTTTTTCTAGGTTTCCGCAACGAAATGCCCTTTGCATCTCTCACAACGAAGTTACGGACCATACCTAAATTCAGGAGTCTCAAACGCATAAAAAGTTGATTTTCACTACCGTAATCTATCAAAAAGATAATTCGTCGATCTCTGCCATTTGCACCATTCATCATGTTACCAGGCTTAACGTCTCTGTGCACGAAACCGATCTCATGAAGCTGAAAGTGTCGTGATCCTAACAAGAGAAAGACGGCCCTTTTGCACCACTAACTCTGTCACAGACCTGTTTTATGGCGTAGAGTGCGTGAATGCCAATGCGAAGTATGGTGCTCTCACTAAAGCCCTCTGGTGATCTTTTCTTCAGCGACATCAAATCCGAACCACAGATGGTCATGACTATGAAACTGAAATAGTGGATTTGGTCATATGTTCAAAACAGGGTAGAAGCCCTTTTGCATCATTACAGTATGCGGCATCGAATCCTATACACTGTAGTGGTGCAAAAGGGCCGTTTCCTGTTTGGAACATAAGGGCCACAAACGATGTCATGCGCGAAATCTTTTCATTTCTTGTTCGCTTAGTTTCCTTGAGGATCACGCGAGAGTACGGTGGCGTACGGTATGAGTGCGACATG